AGAATGAATCTAGGGGAAAAATCATCATTTCCAGCTTAAAAGTGGGTGCCACCGAGCACACCATTGGAAAGACAACGAAAAATCAGTGAACTTAGACTCAAAAATTGCTTGATTTGGAGTCCGGATGAAGAAGATATGGCTAACGGAAGAGGAAAAGGCAAAACGGTCAAAAAATGTCAACCCAAGAACATCTAACCGGTTAGGAGACCTTCCTAACCGGTTAGGAGGCCAAAAATCTTGCCAAAAACACTGCCCATGCACATGTAACCGGTTACGAAACCCCTCGTAACCGTTTACATGTGAAGAGGGCAGTAAAGTGCAACCCAAAAATCTGGCAGCAAGGGTTTTTCCGGGAAAAATGAAAATTTGAGGGTCTAGATGACATTTTCTGGAAAAACTCAAAGAAGAAACCCTCCTCAAAATTGAGTTTTCTACATGATTCTTGAGGAAAATCGAAAAATATGCAATGTGAAATGCCCAAAATGCCCTCCCAAGAAAACTGGTCCAGAGGGTCCAAAAAGCTGCTAAATTTAAAAACTGAAAGCTGAACTTCAGATGTGATTTCCGATGCCAAGATGGCATTTTCTGGAAAAACACAAAAAAGAAATCCCCCCTAAAATCATATTTTCTATTCAACCATGTGAAGAACGGAATTTATTTCCCAAAAAAAATTTCCAAAATACCCTTAGGTCAGAAAATGCAACAAAAGTGTAAAATGAGTCCGTAGGAGGCTCATTTCACCAAAGAAGAAGCTTTGCCCGGAAACGACCATGCACGTAAACGTAACTTACCTAGTAAGATGTGCTACAATGGTCCATGGCCCAAAAATATGGCCGATACAAAATATGACCCCCCAACGGCCAAAATGCCAAAAATGTAATTTGGAATGAAAACTTGGAATTCAAAATTATGAAATGGTTTCAAAATACCATTTGACCCTTGGCCACACTTCATACATGATTAATGAGACCCTATGGAAGAATCAAAATAGAATTCCCACACCCAATGCAAACATGGTGAAGCAAAAACTCAATATTTTTCAATACTTTCTTAATATTCCATGAAGTCAAAATTTACATAGGATACAAATTACATGTCATTGGCCTCCGGCCTCATCTCATACATATCAAATACATTGTAAGGAGTGTACTCATGTATACATTACATATAAGGAATCAAATGTACATATGTTGACATATAAGACTACAATTGGCATTCCAAGCCAACCTTCACCAAAAATGGAAGTCTCCAAGTCCGCAAACCATCCAAGCATAATGAAGACCTCAACTTTAATTTTTGTACCTAAAATATGCCCCAGTATCGTAGGGGTGAGTAACATAAAGCTACTCGTAGGAAATGAGCATACATCGACCTACGTTTTACAAGTTTGTATGATTTAATTATAGTGGTTCATTCCACCTAACGTCTATGTCAAAGGTGAAACTCAAGGAGTATCCTAGCTACCTAAGATCATTTCTAGCATCAATCACTTCATCCATGCAATTTTAGCAACATAGGTTCATGCTTACACAAAGCAACAACATAGGAGTATGCTTACACAAAGCAACAACATAGGAGCATGCTTCCACAAGCAACAACATATAGATTCTCAAGGTTAACAACTTAAAGTCTAAAATGCAACATCAACTAAATATAACAATTTAGCATAATTAGAATATCTAATACCACACATCAAGACATAGATTCTCTAGGTTATCAACTAGAAATCTAAAAGTGTGAAATCAACTAAATATATCAATTTAGTATGGATGTACTTAACAACATCAAAATCGCAAATAGCCAAAATCACAAGTTAACAAGGTAAACATGATTGTCAACTTGGAATTGAATGCGAAAACAAACAGTAGAAAACTTGGACATCACGCTCGGAATTCTGCCGAGACCTCAATGGTTATTCCGGGCACTAATCCGCAGGGAAGATCACCCTAAGTGTGTACTATCTCGATGACTTAGAGGACTCACGTCCCCGTACTAGAGCCAAACCTTAGCCATCTCAACTCAACAATGTTCCAAGATTCCAAAATAAGCCAAATAAGTTCATAACTTATGTATATTACTACTACATAGTAATAAGTTAGCAATATAACTCTCAATTGTGCATAATAAGCATTTCATATCCATAATGCTACGAAATCACAAACCAACAATATATTCATATTAGAAACATACCCTTATGAATATAAACTTAATAACAATGCTCTTCAATGCATATAACACAATCTAGTGAATACATCATGAGTCTAAATCCATGCTCTTAAAATGAGAAACAATTTCTAAAACATGATTAGATCCATAGATAAACAAAATAGAATTTAATTACATCAAAATAATTAAACTCTCTAGATTTCAAATCATTTCCAATTGGCGCCAATTTAATATATGTTAATAAACATATCATGGTCATTGCATATATTCACACACAAGCTTAATTAGGCCCATAAAACCACCAAAATAAATTTTAATTAATTCCCTTAATTAAAGTCTCTAGATTTCCAAACTCAACCAAATGCTCTCAAATTAAAGTATGTTAACAAACATGCCAAAACTTAATTTAGAAGCATAATACAACTCAATTCCATGCAAGGTATGACCATGAACTTAAATATTTCACAAAAGATAAATCTTAATTAAAAAGAGTAATTCTTATTTAATTAATTCCAATTTAATATATGTTAACCAACATATTAAAACAAGAGTTTCTACCATGCCACAATTCAAAACCAAGTTTCTCATCATCATGAAAATTAAATCTTATACAAAGAATTAAATATTTTAAATTTCCTAGATTTGATACAAGGCATACATTTAGGTTGTATAAACATGGAAAACACACAATACAACACATATAAAATCCTAAAACATTCCCTACCCCATTTGAGATGAAATCTCAAATCCCCACCAAAATAAATCGGCTCCGAATCCGATGAAACTCCTAGGTTTTATCGGGGACAACGCCACGAACATGAATCCCAAGGAAGCCCCATCAAAAACACAACTTGACTTCAAACCCGAACTCAAGAAATGGCCAAAACGAGATTCCAATCAGTTGGAATCGTAGGCCTCGCCGAGGAGAACAATAAACACAAAGGTATCACCACTTTTTAATAAAGGGAAGAAGTCCAAAAGAGGAGAGAGAAGATGGCAGCCATGGATGGAGCTTGGGCCAGCCATGAGAGAGGAGAGAGAGAAAATCTTATTTTTCTTTCTAAGACCTCATATTTATAGAAAAACTCAAAAAGTGCCTCGAATAGGCCCCACCAGGTTCGGAAAAGCGGAATTTGAGCAGACGCGCTCAAATGGCAAAACTCTGTGAACAAAAAAGATTCCAAATGAGAAAATATGAATAACGGAAGAAACGACGTCGAAAACCGAGTCCCGAGCAGAGAGTTATGCCCAAAACAAATTTGGCGCAAACCGGGGCCAGAAATCCTGAAACTGGAAAACATCATGCAGGAGGAAATTCTAAGAGTCCATGACTCGACGAAATGTGAAAATGAATCCCGTACGAGGATCCAGGCTCAAAATAAGGCATTGAGCAATAACTTTCATTAATTGTACAATGACCCCTCTAAAAAGTGAAAACTGCGAAACTGTCCCAGAATGAAAATATCTTCCAAAAGATATTTTCTTAGATACCCCTGAAATAAAATATCTTCAAAAGATATTTATGAAAAACACCTCAAGAAAAGAAAAAGTTTCCAAAGAACTTTGCATTTATGCCCCTATAGACACCGGGAGGAACCAGAGTACTTTTTCATGAAAGTAAAGATACGTATCTCATAGAAATCATTGAGAATGAAGATACGCGAAGTCAGAAACCAACTCCGAACACAAGAAGAGTGGTTACGCAAACAGAGTGATAAACGAGGAAAAGACGAAATAGGGAAAAAGACAAAATAGGGAAAAGACAAAAAGTGAATAGTGTCGAAAAACGAAAAGTGCGGAACTGACTCGGTTCTCAAAGGAAGTTGTTAATCCACAGAAAAGAGTCTCGGAAATCACTCCAGAGCACTCAAGACGACACTAATCGACAAGAAACCAAACTCAGAAGGGAAAAGATAACGGAAAAAATTTATCCGAAAAATCCGGGTCATTACATCAGCTTTTCCAAGAGTCACGTCAACAATTCCAAGAGCTACGTCAGCAGTTTTCGCTCTCCAGAAACATGCACTCCATCAGGCTCTCCGAATTTTCGCTCTTCAAAAAAAAAAAAAAAAAAAAAAATTAAATTAAATTTTAAGATTAAAAATAATGAATTAGAATAAGAAAATAAGAATTACAAAATCCTATGGGAATAAGAAAATGAAATTTTAATTTTAATTATTTTTTTTAAAAAAAAGTTTTACAAAATTGAATTTTTTTAAAAAAATTTACAATATTATAATCTTTAAGGCACTGTTTGTGTCAGCCAAACAGTGCCTTAACGGTCAAATGCACTATTTATGACAGTAATTTTAAATTTAACGCAAAATTTAAAAAAAAAAATCAAATTTTAAGGAAAAAAAACAAAAAAAAAAGGTTTTTAAATTTATTTTTGGCACAAATAATTTATTTTGGACAAACAGTGTCTAAACAATATATTTTTTAATTTACTGAATTTTATTTTATTTTATTTTTTAAAAAATAAGCTCAAAATAACATATTTTGGGTTTTTTCAAAAAAAAAACTAGGCTGCCAAAAAGTGCCTTAAGGCACTGTTGGCACTGTTGCAGCCTGAAGTAAAAAAAAAAAGAAAAATCGCTTCAGGCAAAATGTCGTCTCTTTGCTAAGGAAAAAAACAAAAAAAAATTTTCGCGATCGGGCTTGGGCTCGCGGAATACCGTGAGCCGGATAGCGAGCCGTTGTGCCCAATTCCGCGAGGCTGCTTTGTTTGGTTTGCGGAAAGGGCCTTTCGCAAGCCCACTGCGAATGCTCTAAATACTATCTATTTTGCATTTTCTTGATGCCGCCGGTTTTTAAAACCCGTCTACACCATAACACAGACACAGCTTGTTGTTTTATGGGTCGGACCAACTCACTCGCTAGGTGGGTAGGCCCGTTACGTGACCGCTTTCTCAGAATCCGCTCTCTTTTCATCCACCGCCTTGCCTAGATTCAGTTGGTTCCTTCATCTCTGTTTTATTCTCGGATCGGTAGTGGTGCGTAGGCTACAAAAGCGTCTTACAGACTGGGTTCAGTTGTTGTATGTCTCTATCTACCAACCATCTACCCTCCCAATATGCCACAAGGTTCTCTCTTCCTCTCTCCTTAGTTTGTCGTACAATTTTTTATTTTTTATTTTTATTATTAGTATTATTTTTTATGTCCGTCTACTATTACGATTATTGTTATGATTGTTTTGTATTTGATTTGATTTGTTACTAATACTACTACTAAATAACGCATGGCTTCCCGGCAGATCTTCCGGGTTTCTATTATGATGCGGAGAAGAACAGGTATTTCCCCATCAAAGGGCCAATCCCTGGCTCTTCTCGCAACTCTGCTTCTTTGCCTACTGCTCAAGATACAATTTCAAAACAAAACCAGGTAATTCCCTCTGTTACCGTATATTATACCCAGAAGTGAAAGGGAATAATAACAACGAAATTATGGAAGCATTCAGTTATACTCTTTTGCTCTGTTCAGACTTTGTTTTTAGTTTGCCAAGGTCGTCTGATGTGTTCTCCTAGGGGCGGGGCCAGAATTTTGATTAGGGGGCGAATAGTGTTATTAAATTAAAATTTGAAAATTTACAAATCAATTGTAATATAATTTTCTTTATGATATTAGTCTTCGGGTGTGTATATTTGGTTATTGAAAAAATGTAATCCAAAAAATGAGAGAAATGCGACCTAAATAAATAGATGGAAAATTTATATAAAAAAAAGAAAATCAATTTTCCTTCAATTGTTTCAATCTGCAAAAATCAATTTTTGGAAAAAAGTTTTTGAGTAATTTGATTCTAGCTTGGCTTAGACATATCATTACTACCTTGATAAGTGTTGTCGCACTAGGCTCGAGGCTCAGCCTTAGCGCTTGTTGCCCTAGCACTTGTTGTCATTCCAGGCACACTGATGTGACAACTTAATAAACAAATAAGAAAGCTTAAGTGTATAAGAGAGAGAATGAACTTTGTTCAAAAGAATAAACAAATAAGGAAGTCCATGAGTCAAAGTGTCAACCAAACATAAAAAGAGGGAGACGAACGACGAAATCCTAGTGGCAAAGATGAACGACGAAGCCATGTCAGTTCTTTCTTTTTCTTCTTCTCTCTCTCTTCTCCTCTACTTCTCTCTCCTCTCTTCTATTCTACTCTCTACTCATCCTTTTTTTTTTTTTTTTTTTTTTTTTTTTGTTAATAGATTAATTTCTTTTTGTTTTTTTCCTTTCAAAAAAGCAAATTATGTTTTGCCTTTCAAGAAAACAAATTTGTGCTCTGTTTTATAGTTCTTGAATGCTTATATAGTTGATTGATTTACTTTTTTATATTTGTTATTAATTTTTAGAATATTGATATGACTTATGAGATATGAATGTTTTTATGGTAGTTTAAAATTTCAATTGTGTGCCTCACTTCACTTAGGCTCTCTGAAGCAAACAGAAAAAAGAAACAAGTCTTCCTCACAACTGTAAGAGAGAGACTAGGAATACTGCAATCACCGTCGGAGCCTAGATTTCTAAAGGGAAATCTGGGAAAAGCCTTAAGAACTATCTAAATTCTAAAATATGATACCACGATCAAATAAGAACCCGAGTAAATCCTTCCATCCTTTCTTTCTTCTTTTCCTTACTCGAACAAAACACACTAATCTGCTGTTAATGATAAAGAATCTGATTTTCAGACCTCTCTTAAGAAATTTAGTAGATTTCCAACACCTGCTTAAACACAAATCAGTAGCCAAGACCAGAGCTAATCTTATTTTTGAATTGAAACAACTCTTAGCTATGTATCGTGCCAAGAACCCACCCCAAATCAGGTCATGTATATGAAATCTATTATTTATCAAATCCATGAATGAAGAAGCTTCAGTTCTGACCAAAATATTCAGGAAACTTAAATCTGATGTAATGCATACTGCACCACATACAGCTGGAGGTTCAATATATTTATCTTCAAAGTCTCCACCTATTTGTCTGTCAACAAGCGTAAAGTCTGAAATTTCTGCGACTTTGGAATCAACTTGAAATATTTGCTTCAATTTCTTCAGTAGTTCCCACCTTCTCACCACAAATCCATGGTATGCAGATTGAATAATGACAGCTGCTTTAGCTTCTGAGATGTTATTGGCTGCTTCTTAAGACTTCTCCCCTTCTGCCTTATTTTTTTCTTCATATTGCTCTTCATTGTTTTCAAATTCTGGAAGCGAGAAAGTTGTAGTTTCCTCCAGCCTTTCACATTCTTTATCTTCCCATCCGACAAATTCATCCCAAGCTGATGTGGCATCCACAAAATCAACATAATTTCCAACGTTGCAATTATCAGAAACTAGTGAACTCTTGGCAGTCTTGTATCCTGAATCTTCACATGTGCAGGACCAAAATTCGGATTCTTGGGCATGTTTCACCATTGATGTCCATGTACGTTGTGATCTGGTAGCACTCTGCTTTGGACTTCTAGACTGCATATGGCACTGAAATCTCTCTCGAACAGGCTGTCTTACCCAATCTTCACATTCATATGCATCCACTTGCTGATCCATTTCTCTCCTACCCTCCAGATTCAGAGGAGAAATGATTCCATATTGTACTAATAGAGTGCTCATTTTTTTGCAGATTTTGAAATTTCTGAAAGTCTTCTTTTGTGGCTTTCTTGCTTCCTTGCCTAGCCATAGATCCAAAGTAATCACAGATCTTAAAACCTGGCTCTGATACCACTTGAAGCAAACAGAAAAAGAAACAAGTCTTCTTCACAACTATAAGGGAGACTAGGAATACTCCAATCACCGTCGGAGCCTAAATTTCTAAAGGGAAATATGGGAAAAGCCTTAAGAACTGTCTAAAATCTGATAATAACTCAAAATGTATTGATAAAGACTTGATTACAGCAGATATAGAGGGCTGTCCCTTTTATAATAATGATAAAATAGATTATTCTGCACCTTCAAAGGTATACTCCAACTCTTAATTAAGGCTGAAGTCAAACGAACAGATGAACCACAGGAGTCTGACTAGATGTCTCAATCAAGGGATTGTTTTCAAGAGCATTCCTTCGGTTGTTAGATACAGTCTTTTAGAGCCATCATAGATGAGCTGCTGCAACAAGAACAGCTAGCTAGCTAGCTAGTAGGTATCAATCGAGAGGTTCAGAAGGCAAGATTTTAAAGGCTGCAGTTAGAATAACAAGTCTGGGTGCAAGCTTAAGCATTCCGTCCTGATTAACAGAACAAGCCATGATGCTTCTACTATTAATGACACTTGACTTTTCCTAGAATGACTCTTAGAATTCTCACACAACATTAATAACTTTATCACTTTCCTAAGTATACTTAATAATTCCAAGGCTTAGTAAAACAAGGACTCTTTGACTTTTCTTCAAGGCACTTTCTAAGGCACCATTGACTGCCTCAATCATGACTAAAGTACCCTTAATGATTTGCATCACTTGCAAGGCTCCTTGTGCCTAGGCTCCAAATGACCTCGAGCTTCTTGGTGCTCCTTGAGCCTTTAATAACACTGACCTTGATGAAAAAAAATAGAAATTTTAAATTACAATTAAAAATATTAGCTTATATAATATCAATCCTTATTGTTGTTGGCATTCTTGCCATCTTGCTCCCACAATACTTTAGTTTTCCTTCCTTTCCAATGCTCCCGAGAGTTGGTGATAGACATTATCTTGTGAAAATTTATAATTCTAGATATTTATCTTGTAAACACCATCTTGCGAAAATGTTTGAGAAGAAGATTCATGCATTTTTATTAAACACGAGGGGACATTAGTATAATTTTTATTTTTAGTTTGCCAAGGTCGTCTGATGTGTTCTCATTAAGGGTGGGGCCAGAATTTTGACTGGGGGCCGAACTAGTGTTATTAAATAAAAATAGAAAATTTACAAATCAATTGTGTATATATATATATATATATTTTATTTTTTTTTATTTTTTTTTATGGTCTTAGCAGATTGATCATGGTTTTGTCTTTGGTTCAAGTTTAGGTCCGATTAGTGCGTCTGAGAGTTTGATCTCTAGATCTTTTGCATCAAGTAGGTTTCTTTGTAAAAGGCTTCATTACAAGCTTTGTTTTCTTTTTGTTATTTCTGTTTCTTTTTCGGTTGTTCCCCTCTTTGAGAGGTGCCAGATAATGCTGTAGTTGTTTTCTACTTGGCTTTGTAAGCTTTGTTATACACTTGTTTTTCCTTAATAAAATTCCAATTTACCAACACACACACACACACACACAAAAAAAAAAAAAAAAAAACGAGAGAGAGAGAGATAGAGAAAAGAGAAGAAAAAGATGTTCAACAAGTTCGATAAGATAAGAAGTTCTGCTGAATGTTAGGAAACACTGGAAAAGCTCTGTTAATTAATTCTAAAGCCACTTATGGAACTTGGTTTTTGTTGAGAGAGAGAGAGATAGAGAAAAGAGAAGAAAAAGATGTTCAACAAGTTCGATAAGATAAGAAGTTCTGCTGAATGTTAGGAAACACTGGAAAAGCTCTGTTAATTAATTCTAAAGCCACTTATGGAACTTGGTTTTTGTTGAAAGCTAAAGCTAAATCTTAGAGAGAAGAGAGAGAGGAGAATGGACTGTATCTCTTATTTCATATCACAAAAGGATGATTACAATAGTTGTATATAATATCTTTCAAAACACAAAATAAGGGAGGTGGTAGGTGAGTGTAGAGCAAGGAATGTATCTAGACATATTGTGTGTAGGTAAATACATCATGTGTAAAATATGAAAGCTGGAATCATATCCCTAAATAAGGTATAGTTGACTACGAGTTGTATTCACGACACTCCCACTCAAGTTGGAGAGATGTCAATGTGACTCCAAGCTTGCTGCAGATAGAATCGATTGCATGCTTGGGTAGAGCCTTAGTAAAGATATCTGCTAACTGATTACCAGACGATACGAATGGAGTCACAATTTATTTGGAAGTCACCTTAGAACGAATGAAATGACAATCAACCTCAATATGTTTGGTTCTCTCATGGAAAACCGGAATACTGGCAATGTAAATAGCTGTCTGATTATCGCAATAGAGAAGAGAGGAGTCTTGAACAGAAAGCCTGAACTCCTATAACAGAGTTCTCAACCAAGTTAGCTCACAGGAAGTATGAGCCATTGCACGATACTCAACTTCAACACTTGATCACTCCGCAACCGACTGCTTCTTACTTTTCCAAGTGACTAAATTGCTTCCTATGAATGTACAGTAACCAGTCGTTGATTGTCTGTCTAAAGGAGAACCTGCCCAATCAGAATCACTTTAACCCTCGACACGCAAATGTCCGGATGACTGATAGCGAAGACCACGACCCGGAGCTCCTTTGAGATACTTAAGAATCTGTATAACTGCTTCCATGTGGGGGACTCGTGGGCT